ACCTCATTCTCAAGACCTTGGGTGTGAAAATAACTGGGCAGTTATCTCTCAAGCCAGCGGACAACATGACTTCTTTTAGCACCAGAGCTGCTTAGAGGTAAGGTGTTGGTGAGTGGTGAAAAGGGACTGATAAACACAGCCATAGTTTTAGGACATTTTGGACATTTCAGGACATCCACAGTTTTAGGACGTTTTGTTTTCACTTGGAACAATGCTGAAACAAAATTTTCAAATTGTGAGGAGAGTTTCTTTCTTTTTTTTAATGGGTGTACTAACCCCTCTCCTGAAACAATTCATAGGGAAGCACTGGGTGTTTTTATGCTTTTGTGGTGAGGAAGATTGGCCCTGAGCTAACATCTGTTGCCAATCTCCCTTTTTTTTTCTTCCCAAAGCCCCAGTACATAATTGTATATCCTATTTGTAAGTCATTCCAGTTCTTCCATGTGGGATGCCACCACAGCATGGCTTGATGAGCAGCGTGTACGTCCGCACCCAGAATCCGAATCGGTGAAACTTGGGGTGCCATAGCGGAACAGGCGAACTTGATCACTCGGCCATGGGTCTGGCCCCAGGAGGAGCGTTTCTTGAGAATTCTTATTTTATCAACAAAAACAATTAATCAAATTTAAATTCTATACAATATCCAGAGTCCATGAGATGTTATAAAATTTAAGTATGTAAAAGAAATGCATTTTAAGATTACTGTTGTCACAATATTCTATTGGATGAGCATGAAAATTTATAAACTGAAAGTTAAAATGAACACCAAAACAAATTATAGGCAAGATAATCCCTGCAGAACTTTCTTATTGCTTGAATTATACACACACAAATAAACTTCTATGCTTCTCTATAAGCTACCATCTATATCTCTACTACACAATTCAGGAATCAGGAGAGCTGAGTATTTTACGTGTCATATAACTTACAGAAAGCTATTATAAAATTTACTTTTGAGCTATTAAAATTTTAACTAAACTACATTACGTCTTTAATAAGTTAGTATTATGTATAAAAGACAAAAGGTGACAAGAAATACAAATAAACAAGATTATTTCAGAGTTGAGGAATAGAAGAAGTGTGGTAATTAGCCCTAAATTCTATTCTTCATGTATCTAAAAGCTTCTTCGTTTCATAGTCTATATATTCCCTTTTCTTTAAAAACAATTTCATGAAAACAACTTGGGGTTTAGAAGATAGAAACGAACACTAGTCACTGTATAATACAAACATCCTGAGAGCAGAGACAGTTCACACCCTCCATTGCTGCTCCTCCTAGTGTTCCTCTACTGCCCAAAACAGTCCCTTAGAGAGAGGTGGCACATTCGATGACATCAAACCAAAACCTCTTCTGAGTTTAGTTGAATCAAAGGCTGCCTTTTTGCTGGTCTCAGCATGACAGGTGCCCTGTCTGGTTCTGGATGGTCCCTGTCTGGATCAGGAAAGGATTTCCCTCAGCCTCTTCTCATCCTTTAGTTCTTTAAAAGCAACACAAAGATAGGGACACTTCTGATGTGTTAACAAAATTGTCATTGCACTATGTCTGCAAGCATAATGGCAAAAATATAGAAACAATCGGACATCTAAAAATAATGCGTTTGAAGTCCTGTTTTTCCTACTGAGTTAAGACTTTTGTTTCTCTTGGAACAATTTACTTTGACTTTCCAAATGTTTAGCGTTGCTTCAGAATTAAGGTAAAAGTCACATGTCTAAATACGCCTGACGTGGTTGAGCACCTCACCTACTAGCTCTATTCCATGACATACCCCAAGCCAGACAAGCAACAAATTAAGGAATGACTAACTAAACTATTTTTTTCTGTTTCCTTACTATTAACATCGTCTCCAAACTATGAACTAGTTAACAAGTGAAGTCTTGTTATTTCTCAATCACTAATGCTAAAAAGGTGCTTTTAAAGTGAATGTATTATGCTTTAAAATACATGCCCATCCTTATATAAGCCTCAGCGTAATTATAGTTTTGTATAATTAGAGTTTCAAGTCAAAAGATTTACAGCTTTATCACCTCAAGCAATATTTCACAGCTGCCAAGAACGATTTATGCAATAATGACTTAAACTGTAAAATAGAATCCTCAAAGGAAGGGCTGTCAAATATTCCTACTGCAAATAACTAGGCTTTTAAAAATTGATATTCTGATAAACAGCAAGTCCAGTTGGACCTAGTAAAATGACGTAAAGTTGCATGGTGGGAAGTGTTGCTCCGCAATAGTGATGATGCGGCTCACCACGCATTGCATCATAGATCATGGGTTTACACCGCTTGTAAAGCCTCTAGCCAGTTTACGGAAACAAGCTTTCAGAAATAATACCGTGGTTACATTTTTGTTACTCCAGTATAAGTGAATGGAAAAAGTAGAAACAGAATATTTCAACTTTTTGTTAATATGCTCATTGTGCTTATCACATCCCTATTCATATTCCTGTGAAATGCTAAATAAAGAATAAGTAAAGGAAGCATTTACTGTATATACTTAAGAAACCAAGAACCTCTCAAAAGCAAATGACCTTAATAATAAAGAATTAAGGAATCTTTGAGAAATAAACTAAAGAAAATGTTGGTGATTTTGTCCCTCCCTGCTTTCAGAAATGTAGAGTGGCTGGCATGTCTTTAAGAGGTAGGACTTTGAAAGCATTTGAACTTCACAAGCTCTGACTGATTCTGCAGTTGCCATGTGAATAAAGCCAATACATTCTGAAGATTCTATTCAAGGTATCTGAACTAGTAGCAAAAATACAAGTTGATTACATTCACAGCAAATAAGTCTTATGTGTCTTCACAATCTAAAAAGATCATTCAAATTAATCTTTTTCTTTGGAAAAAAAAGAAAAAGCTTGACCCATCACCTCATGTTTCCCATATCAATAAAAACAAAATAGGCAACGTTTGCCATTAACTCTAAAGGTACCCAAGCTCTCATAGACTGAGTCACATCTGAAAATGAAGCCAAAAGATTCAAAATCATCACCAAAGATTGGTATTTATAACTTAAACAAGCTTCCAAATAAAGATTCCTTGTCTAAAATGGGGAAGTTTTAATTCATATAACCAAGCAAAACACTCAGATGGGAAGATTCGCATTAGTCAATGTACCAGCATCTTCACTGCAGAAATTTTTACATTCATGTTTGTGATTCCACATTAAATCTCTTTTTTTAGGTGTTTTGGGATCATTCTACACACTCACATTGTACAAGTTAAACTAGGTTTCAAAACATCACCTTTCCACTTGCAATGTAATAAATAACAACTTCTATTTGAAAACATTGCCTGAAAAATATAGTTAGTATCTAAGTGATCCAGACAGTCCAGATTCATTTTATACTTAAATTCTATAAGTTGAAAAAATTCTGAAATGTCCTAGAAAACATAATGACCACACGTGGACCAACACGCCCTGCAGTAACCACAATATAGATGGTGTCAACATCACGATAAATATTCAGATGGGAAAAAATGTTAGACATTCAAATTATTCCGAAAGCCCAAATTGTTGGCATCAGATACACACACAAAAAAGATGAGTTGCTTTGGGTAGTGAGAGCCTCAGTCCAAGAAATGCTTTCAAGACAACAGAGCAATTAGGCTGTTTCTAGTATGCCAACACTACTGATTGAAAAGTGAGGGAAAAATGAGAAGAACTTTAAAAACAGTCTCTATGTTGGTTGAAAATCATAGAATTGTTTTCACTCCAGATTAATCCAAAGTTACACATACCTGTTTTTCCAATCATAGTTAGTCACACATACCCACTCAAGTTGATGTTAAGAAAATCCAATGATTAAGAATTGTATATTTTCTATCATGAAATATTTAATTATCAGAAAATAAGAAGAAAAGTTAAAGCTTTTCCCTGATAGAATTTTTTCTCTGTATTTTACCAAATGATGAGTCATTATATGATACAGGCTATAACATATCACTCATTTACAAAACTTAAGCATTACTTAAAAATCTGACTAGACACCCCCCTGTCTCACTGATTTCTGTCAATAGAATAAAAGGAAATAAATGATAATGCAATATCAACAAAACTAACTGCTGTGTGCATTTTTAAAATCAATTTACCTTTAAGTCTTAATCTGTCAAATATCATTAGGTGTGCACATCTGAGAATGTATATACTTTAAAATGGGTATATCTGAATATTTGAACATATGAGTTCATATACATATATATTGCAAGTTGAATGAATGCATGTCCATTAAATGTGTATTTTTTAGGAACTATTATAAGTCTAACATATTTATGCTCCAATAGCAAGCCTGAAAGAAGGAGGAGTGCCCTTGAAGTTGAGGTATGACCTTAAGTTTGAGATGCTAGTTTTGCTGCAGCTGTAAAAATGAGTACTAATAACTCCACAGTATCATAGTTCCTTTGCTGCATTTCTTATTTTAGGGCAAATCTTGAATACATGAACAGCCTTTATTATTTGAATATACATAAATTTACAAGACCAATTTTAGAAGTTGCTATATATCATCCTTAATCTTGAATAAACAGGAACAAAAGAAACAAGAGGTATTGCCTATCCAAGAAAGATGTATCACTATAATAGTTTTAGTTTCGGATATACAGTTTTCAACAAGACTTTGTGAAATATTTTCAAGTTCAAGCAAATAAAAGTCTATATTTCTCTCCTACCAAATACATATCAACGCAACCAGTAAATTATCGGCTTTTACATTATTCCTTAGAAAGGGGAGAGCGTAAGACTGATTTGTGGCATTTTGTCCCCAGTGACATTAAGTTACTGCACTTTTGAAGAGTACAGAGTACCTTTATTCAAAGAAGAAATTGTTCCCACTAGTCCACTAATGAGAGTATTCATATTACTTGAATCCCAAAATACTATGAGTAAAGCATATCTCTACAACTGAATATTTGGGACTTCTCTGCACATGAACTTCCAGTAATCAGTTGTCAGAATTTCATTTCAATGGAATCAAACACAAGGAATCCTAAATAGATAAACTTTACCATTTTTGTGATAGTAGGTGACCTCCACTTTCCTCTCCTCTGACCCCAGCAATGCCTGGGCAATTTGGGCAATATCATGCCTCTTGGTCTCGGGCCCATGGAGAAAGTCGCAGGTACACGGCTTTTGCATGACATCTGGCCTGGAGAAACCAGTCATCTCGCAGAACCCATCGTTGCAGTAGATGATGGCACAGTTCTGCACTCTGGCATTTGCAATGATAAATTTTTTATCTGTAATAAGAAGATAGTAAGATATCTATTAAAAAGCTTCCACAAGATTCTCATAAACACTGGAGCAATTTGTTGCATGATGGATCTGAAATGCAGGTGCTTCCCAAATTGCTAACTGGCTGGACTTTTAAAAGGAAAAAAAAAACTTAAAAGTGTAATTAAGGATCCCAGTGGTTTTAACAAAAGGTACTAAGGAACTGCTCTTCAAATTTCAAGAATGTAATTTCCCAAATAGTTTAGTTCTCAAGCCCTGTAACTCTCAGGGGATCTAAGGCACACTCAGACAAGCAGCTGGCTCATTGATATTATCAGAATGCCATTTAATTGTAAGGTAAATATTTTCAAAGCCAAACAGTGACACATCAGTAGCTGTCAAATTTCTCACTTCAAGCCTGGCCTTTAGAGCACAACTTTCTCAAAGTAGGCATTATTCTTGGATTTGGCTTTTCTCTAACCCTCTAAGACATACTACAAACCTCAAATTAAAAAAAGAAAGAAGAAACTATTAGCAATGAAACTATTTCACATTAATTAGCAGTTCAATAACGAAAGGTTCACCTTTCTATAACATATATTTTCCAGAAGAAATACTTACACACACATACACATACTCAGTAAATATCATGTTAACACCTTTTCACTTTTACTCTGGGGAATCTTGCACTTTTGTGTAGTAGTAAGGATTTTAACACAAAGGGCTTGTTAATTTTGATCACAGATTATATTTACTATTTCTAGGTAGAATGTGAAGCAGGATGTACAAGTTTATTTTGTACACAAGGTACTATATCCTCAAGTCACTAAACGTAGTGCAAAATAACTGCAAAATGTACAACATAAATGTGCGTTAAGGTAGTTTTAAGGAAATGTCGAATATAAACTCAGTATAGGATTTAACATTAATGTATATATATATAACAATAATTCATTTCTCATAGTTATTCCTCATGAGAATGTTACATTTCTCTGCATTCAGTCTTTGTGGGGTTTACTCATTACACTTCAATTTTTAAATTTCTAGGCTGAAATTTAAGGGGACAATGTAGGGACAGAAATGTTCTTTTGAATAATGAGCTGTTTGCATTGGGAACCAGCATGGATCAGATATTGGTTTTTCCAAATTATCGTGCTTGGGATATATTTGCATTGATTCCATGCAAAGTTTAGCTTCTGGAAACTAACAGCAAGCAAGCATCCCCATCACACCACAGCCTTGCAATTTAACCAAGGTAAAGGAGAGTTTGCATAGCCATTTACATCGCTGCTACCATTTACATTCTCTTGTTCCAATAGTACACTCTGCCCTGGTCTTGACTTTCAAAAAGTCCACAATAAAACAGCCTCAAAATGTAAACTCATGTTATCCTAGTACGTTCCCTTTAAGATAGTAGAAGAGCAGGACATTAAGTAGCAAGACAGATAATGGAGCAATGGGAGAGGAGGATCAAATTGCCTCGTATCATGGAGACCATAATCTAAAATGTAAATCAAAATTAATATCAGAGGCAGAACACTCCTGCTCCCGTTCGAACCTCCTGGCTGGGTCTCACAGCCTCTTAACTTGACTGAGCCCAGAGTTGCCGTCTCCTCAGCTTGTAAGCGGCGGACGCCGAGTACACTATCAAGCAGAAAACGAGCGAGAAGAGAAGAGAACAAATGAACTTACTTTGCCCTTCAAATTTCCGTATGATGGTCCCCAAAAATGTGTTTTGTGGTGCCACATGCCCCCTGCGAACAGGCATGTTGACCCCGGTCTTCCGAGGAGCGCTCCCCGCGAGCTCCGGAGTTCTCCCGGGATCTCTCCTCGGCTATAGCCCAGGCCAGCGCGCGAGCCGCTCTTTGTGGCAGAGCATCCTCTTTTGAAACCAGAAATCTCTTCCCATTAGCACCACTTCTAGACACCCGCTTTCCCTACCGGAGTCCAATCCATTCCCCTCACCTTCCGGAGGGGGCCTCGCACCGGACTGCCGCGGGTGAGAGGGTTTGGGGGTGGGGAAAGGGAAGGAGGCGGGGTGAGGGGAGGTGGCGGGGGAGGAAAAGAGGGAGGGAGCAGTGGGGGTGGGGTGGGGAGGGGGGCGGGGAGTCACAAGGGCAATCGATCTGTTTCTCTTCTACCAAACAGTGCCAATTTCCCAGTGCAAATGGGCTTAACCTGCCGGTTGCTCAGAGCTATGAGGATGGCTGAGGGGGGGATGGAAGACTTGTGTGTTTTTTTGCAGGAAGGGGAGAAAGAAAAGGAGGATGGCTTGGGGCGGGGGGGGGGGGGGGGGGGGGGGCTACCGAGGAGAGAGAAAGTGACGTATCTATCCCCGCCCTCTCCCCCTACACACACACACACACACACACACACGCTCCCTTTATCCCGAGAGCTTGGGCGCCGCCACAGCTCGGATTACTCAAGCGTGCTTTAGCGGAAGCCAGCCAAGAAATCTCCAAAACTCAGTGACAAACAGCTACTCTGGGAAGGTGATCTCCACAGCCACTAGCCACAGGGCTCCATCCCTGAGCTCCTCACGCTGCAGTGGCTAAAATGCCCTTAGCTGCCAAAAAAAAAAAAAAAAAGACAGGTGGGAAAACAGTGCCTCAGTGAGGACTATTTCTAAACACTGGTGGCGTTCAAGAGGTTGAAGATTGAGGATGAGCCACTTAAGGGTGCAGGTTTAGCTTCAGGTTGCAGCTCGGATCTCTGGGCTCGGCGGAGGCGGGCGCTGAAGCCGGGGCTGAATTAGCGCTCCCGTCCCTGCCGGGAGCTGAGCCGCGCCTCCCAAAGACTGAAGGCTGCTGGCGCCGCCCCTGAGCATGCCCAGTTTCACTGCTTGAACCTCTGAGGAGTTGCAAGGTTGGGGGGGATTGGGTCTCTAGGTGCTGGAGGCTGGGAGAAAGACGAGAACGCCAAAGACTGTGCCAGCAACTGGTACAAAACAAGAAAATAGTTTGAAACGGGTGACGCTAGGCGCGAAGTGGAAGGAACAAAAGGTGGGTGGGGCTAAGAGTTACCAGCTTTGGTATGACTTCCCATGCCACTCATCCCCTAAACGCACTAGACGTTCCGTTCTGCTCTCTTCACTCACCATTTCTAAGGAATCGTCTCGTTTAGGATGGAGAAGGGTTTAAGGGGCAGAATAGAGTCCTCTTGGTTCTTGCTTCTCAGAACCTACCAATGCGGGAGTCTCGTAATACACATACACTTCTGTTCAAATAGTCCCTGTGGAGTCTTAGGAGATCAAATGTGACAAGCCATGCCAGGAGAGGGTGTTTTCTAAGTTGTTTTTCTAGTTTTTTTTTTTTTATTCTTTTCCCTTCATTTATGATATCTCCTCCTTTAACCCAATAGTCAGCCCTTCTCCAGGCCCGTTTCTGTAAGCGGAGTTTGCCACCACTACAGCCTAAGAATAAGAAGACCGACAAACCGCTTGTTTCCAGCTGGCAAAGGGTGCAGAGTCTCCTATCAAAACATGTAGTTGCATGATAGAGTTTTGGGAGTTCGTGCAGCCCATTAACCTGCTTTGTCTGTGTCTTGAGTCAGTCGGGTTCATATTTTCTCAGTTACAACTTCAGTTCTGAAGTAAAAAAATGAGGACGGAAGTGAGATGAGGCCGAGAGGGAGGGTTAGAAAGGTGAATCCTGTGGACTGCAGTAAATAACGAGGAAATAAGTGTAATGACTTTTACTTTACATTCCAGAAAGCATAAGCCAGGAAAAAAAATCCAAACAAAAACAAGAACCTAAGCAGTTCTTACTTTTTCATATCAGAGTAATGAAAATGAACCAGAAACGCTAGACATTGCCTGAGAATGTTGAATTTTCTGGTTAATTAGCTTTACTTAAAAAGAAACAATCCATGACAACCCTTAGGCTCTTATGGGAGCTTGAGCTTTTCTGAATCTGTACGATTCCCTCCCTCGGAATCTAAAAAGGCACGATCCTCCAGAGCACGGCTTTATTTTCTCCCCCTTTTCAATATAAGTGGATCCTTTTGTGGTGTTCGCTAGCTGCAGCTGGGCTTGTGAAACGACAGAGTTCCTTTCCCAGGTGGTAAACGTATGGAGCTATCCGTGGTGCTGACTCTGATTCTGCCGTTAGCAACTGCTCCCTGCCTACATCCAGCCACAGACAATAGAATTGCAAACTCGGGCAAGTGGCCCTGATATATTCACACACTCTTCTTGTCTTCACCGTATACCCAGAGAAACAGAGAGTGCTATTTGCATCCCATTTCTAAAACATCTCCCTTTTCTATTTAGCTTCTTAGCTAACTGGAAGCTCAAATGTATTCCTCCCAAAATGCATCAAGGACTCCAGAGAAAACTGAACAAACTACATATTATGTGGCTTGTAATTAAGGTTTCATGTACGCTATAAAGGCATAATAACACAATAGTAAGTTATGACAAGGTCGTATGGCAAATATATTTTTTTCAAATCACATGTATATTCAGTGAATGAATATTGTTTTAAAGGAAACTAGGCATTTCCAAATGCAGTTTGAAACCCAAAGTTTATCTGCCATATGATGAGATGTACTGACATGCAGAAAATAACAGTGCATAATGTCTCTAGTTATGAGTCTGATACTAACTTTCACAGACTATTGAGTCTGGAAACACTTGAATTCTACTTTAAGGGTGGAAGAGTGGATTCTTCAAGAGGAAAACTAGCTTTTTGCTCCCTGAAGTGTTCTTTCTTTCTCTACAACCTTCAGAGTAGTCTCTGTTTGTTTGCTCTGGGTAACTAAACACATGGCGGTTAAAGTTCTATTGTCTGTGTTCATATGAGCAATCTCTGTGGGCTTCGCATTTTTCCCAACCTCATTTAGCTCTAAGATTAGTTCTATTAAGGATTCAGTGTAAGATCATAGGACATTCTATAACCTATGTATCGTAATTGATTGATCTGAGCACAAGATTAAAGGCATCCTGTTTCTAAATTATCCCAGTAATCGTGTTCATGCATTATACATTGGTACAGTGGAGACAAGTACATGAATCTATATTCAGCCAATAATAGAATCAAACCAGAGGATAGTAATCATGGCAGCTTGCTGGCTGGAAAATTACCCCTCCTTTCATCCCTGCTGTCTACAAAAGTGAACTTTAGATTTTTGGGGGGGTTGAAGCCAGGTTTCATAAGGTTTTAATATTTGGGGATTTTTTTGGAAGTTCAAATATTAAACAAAGCACATAAGTTCAACTGTTGAAATCTGATCAAGTATATAGTCACAACCTGCTTATGGGCAAAGACACAGAATAGATTCAGATATATTCTTAAAATTACTTAATTGTCTCAGTTACTGTAAAATTAAGTAGTTTAGTATTTACAGAATGTTAAAAACCTTTCAACAATGCTTGCACCATAGTAAGTAGTCCGTAAATTTAGTACACACAAAATTCTGCATGAAAGCCCACAGAATTAATAGAGCCCTGCTTAAGAAGCCTACATTAGAAATAATTTAAGTATCATACATTAATGCTTGAATCTGTAAGGAAATAGTAGCAACTATTATGGGCTATTTAAGTGGCATTCTTATTTTGAAAGAGAATGAAAACATTTTAAGCTCAAATAAGCCAGGTAATTTGTTTCACATTTTTAAATAATGTAGAATATAAATCAATGAAATAAATGTGATGTTTTCTCCATTTGACAAAATTAGTTTAATGATCTGATGACCATAATGCAGCACTATAAAGGCTATTTTAATGTGGCCTTCTATGGGAATCCTGGGTATTATTCTAGTAACTGGGTCACTTTTAACCTAAGAAATATCTGACTTTACAGTTCCAAGTTAGGCAAACTTTAGGCTTGTATTATCATATATAGCTCTAGAATACTATAAGAGGCAGAAATTTTGAGGTCATCTGCTAAAACTGCAATATTTCTGTGCAGCATGTAGTTGTGAAAAGGGCAGAAAAAAACTGAGTTCTAACCTGAAATTGCCATTTATAGCAGAAACTAATGAAAATAGTTAAGCTCTCTTGTTCATAGCTTCCTTTCTAAAATCAGTGCAACAATCCTCATCTTTCAGTTTTATGTAAAGAATAACTAGGAAAATGGATACAAAGTGCTTAGCACACACTCTGACAGGTAGTCAACATATAAATGACAGCTGTCCTACAATCTAAGCACTCCATGTTTTTAAAATTAGTAAATTAATAATATTAACATATAGGATTTAGCTAACTTAGATTAAGGTTGTTAATGGTGGTTGCTTGTGGTGTGTGTGTGTTTGGAGCATTAGAAGTAAGAATGGAGTAGGTGAATCATACTCATACTCATTAGTCTGAATGACTTGGACTAATACCAGTGACTATTCCTAATATATTAACATAACCTTTTCTAGTTAGACAGTTGAATATTTCTTCATAAAATTTAGATCCTTTCCTAATAACATTCTTTATATGTTAGTTTTAATCCAGATAATTATTATTCACTTCACCTAAGATACTTTTGCGATAACATACTCCACATTATAGTTTTTATCCAAATGGTTAATATTTGGCTAATCTCATTGATTATACATGAATCTTACTGTAACATGAAGTTACAGTTGTTGGTAAACACTTCTCTAAAAGGTGCCACCTATTCCTGCAGAAAAGAATGTGTTCATATGTGTAGTTAGTACATTGTTAGTACATTCATCAATAGTTGACATAAGAAATTGCTAGTGACCTGATTGGGTTCTTATAATTTATAAAACGTAAGTTTGTTAAAATAAAAAAATTAAATAGATATTCTAAATGAAGATTTGATTGGGTGCGTTGGTAAGGTGGTTTTAGAGGATGAGTTCTTTACTCAGTTTATAAGTAATTTACAACATAGGTCCCAAAATGAGCCAGTTGTTACACATTATAGCTTTTTGCGGACCAAGGTAGTGTATGAAGTTTCTTTTATATTGGTAGACCTTAAAATTGTTTCTTAGTTGGCCAATGTACTCTTATCATTATCCAGATTAATTTTTTGTTGTATTCATTAAGTCTAACTTGATTGGTC